ATAAAATCTGAAAAAGATTTTTAAGCTAGACCTTTTTTCTCGCGTAGCGACTCCCGCTGTCGCGCCGCGAGAAACAGTTAGTCGCTATTCACTGTTTTGTTTTGCAGTTCAGCAGTATACAAAAGAACGAGAAACAATTTTGTAGATTTTACCTTTCTACAAAGTCTTTTCTCGTTCTTCTGGAGAAGGATATTTTCTCTCAGAAGAGAACGTTTTTCTAGTTCTTTTATAAATGTCTATCGACTGCGAAACAAAACAGTGAATTAGCGATTAACCGTTTCTCGCGTCGCGAGAAAGTCATTTTCGCGTATAATCACTACAAGAATAGTGATTCCTCGAGTGATCGCGTAATGACTGGAACAGTTGCTGCAAGAGATCATAGCGATTGGGTCACAAGAACAAGACTGACGGCGTGAACAGTGCGATCAGTTTTGAGGATCGCGACTTCATAGCGATCGCGAAAATCGCGACTTTTTTCGAGATTATAGTGATCGCGTAGCGACTTTTTATCGCGAGTCGCGCCGCGAATTCAGCATGGTAGTTGACCTGGGTAACCTCGCTGAGTACACATATACACAAAGTACTCTACCAAAGTCTTTTCAAAAAGAAAAAAGTAAAAATATTAGCAACCGAAAATTACAGAAATACACTACTATGCTACAGAAATACATACTGGAAATGAGTAGTGTCGAAGTCGTTAGTACAGTTCACTTTCCACTTGTCAGTGTTGTTTTTTCACTCACTCTCACCGCCCAGCGACAAAAACAAAGAAAGAAAACAAATAGCGTCTACATAAAAAAACCTCAAGCGTTGCTAATAAACACAAAAAACTTCGGGAAAAAACGATACATACTCAACCAAATCAATACCACAATCTGTTCCTTTCCCATGGACACAACGCAAGGAAATATTTTCAATATTCGAGACGGAGGCAGCACAGTACAGTAAGTAAGGGATGAAGGTTCTCTCAGGCTAAATTGTATGATCACCTTTTCGATATACCCGCATGGATTGAAAAGTAAGCAAGCAGCGTCGTGCATAGAATCTAAAATAGCGGGACTGCAATGAATAAAGGAATTTATTTCTTATCAGAAAATAAAGCAAAATGTCGCTAACATTTGCTTATGTCTTCTCCCTCTTTTAAATTTTTTTAAATTTTAAAAAGTTACAAATTTTTTATGCAGCGCAAAATGCGAATGACTGCCAAAACATCCAATCGCCTAATCCATATATACTACTATTCAAGGCACTAGTTGTTCCTCTTCCCGTTCTCTCACACGCGCTCTAATCCTAATTACTTATGTTGACTAAATTCAGTTGTTCTACGAAACCTATACTTACCATTCGTTTTTGACGTACCATGAAAGTACGACAAAATCTCCGGCCATCGATTACCGGTTGTTGGTATCAACATGGTAATGGACCGATTTTGAATTTTTGCATTATATGTCATCGTTGCTCGGTTAAAGTCATATACACCATTAAATCCATTGATAATCAAGCCTTGTACACTTTGATAATTTGAATTTTTTGGTTCATAGAAACCGATCTCCGATAACGGAATATCTTCGTCCGACGATATAAATACTGATGTACGCTCCAAAATGTTTGTTAGTTTGGCATGTGTAAGACTTTCAATACAAGATGAAAATGTACCATTCTTATCCACATAATGTTCTCGAAACATTCTTTCCATGAAACTAATTGCCTGACGACATAATTTGATATACGTTGATTTATTCGATACTAAAAAATAAAGGCATGCCTGACAAACCAACTGAGAAAAAATGCTCAAGTCAAAAATTAACATAATTTACACTGGGTTGATCGGTACAACTAGAGAGATCTACCCAGAAAAGCAATTTCAGCAAGCCCACTAAAAATTACACGGAGAGCACACATTTTCATTTTTCAACCATCCCAACAGTTTTCTATCCAACTTCTCATTAAAGCACAAATAACTGAAATATTTAGGTTTTATTTACCAGAATCGCCACGTATAATACTGAATAATTTCATAGTTCTATAGGATTTTTTTTCGGCTGAATAAAGTTGCGATTCATCGCTAACATGTGGCAAAATAATTAATAGACAATGAAATACAGTCAGAGGATCCATTTTTAGAGCACGAAAGTTTTCCAAAATATCCAATAAATCTTGATGTTCTGAATTAAAAAAATCGTTTAAACTATGTGCTGCTGTTATTGCAGTACTTCTTTTCATATTTTTGTCGTCCATCTTATTGAAATATTCAACATCTTTCTTGGTTGGCTTAACCATTTCTACAATGTATCTAAAACAAAGTGAAGCTGCCCCAAGCAATCAATGAAATCCACAGCAACGGCATCCCTTGGCCTTTAGATCAATGAATTCAAATTTCAAGCAAACTAGGAATAGCTAGGTTGAGATAGTTTAGCGCGAAGATATTTCCATCATTGCTAAATCGCAATCAATAGAGATTAAAAAGAGATGTTCTTGCGAGAGGATATTTTCTGTAACGTTGACCACTATGCTTCATAAGTTCACCTTTTTTCAAAAGAAAAGAGGATGGGCACATGCACGATAGAGAAAAGAAATCATGTTATAGATATATCTTTGTGTTTGATAAGTGTTATATCGATACTATAAAGTATGAAGTAGAAAATATGCTAGAACATATATTTCGCGAGATTAGGACAACTCTTGACTTATGGGCATATTCTAAAGGTATTATATTCTATAGAGAATCGTAAATAGAAATAATCTCTACTTAGATTATTTACCCAAATCTGATGCATTACAATAGTATCTATTCCTTTATTCTTCTAAATATGCTTAAAATAAACCATAATTCTATGCATTATTTAATCTCTTTGGCAACCCATCTTTGCACTATTTCCACCTTATTCTTATTTGGAGCTAAACATTCTTCATATTTCCTTTTAACCCTTAATCGGAGCTAAAACGTAACAACTCTTGAAAGAAAAGCATAAAAAAGAGTGCTACTGCACTTCTCCCTGAAATATTAAAAAACAATCAGAAAAGAGCCTAACTTAGCAAGAAATCACTCGCCAAAAAATCTCGCATAAGCCAGGTATCTCGGCTGCCTGGCCTTCATGCAAATTACAGCTCGACATTTTTTCCCACTCAGAACTTCTAGTAACCGTCGAAATGGGAATGTTTTTAACCTAATTTTTTGTCAGATACAAAGCCACGCTGTCTTCAAACGAATTCAGATATTTGGATCGCTAGCTACTATTTAACAGCCGTTAGCAATAGCGATTCACTGTCATCAACTATTGTCCATGCTGAATCCGCTTTCAATACGCACGAAACTCACACGTAGGAACCTATAATCAGCCAAACTCAGTTGATACCCGCAACTTATGTCTCACCATCACGCCTGGCGTTTATGGTATGGTCGCAACCGCCGATGACTATTCGAATCATTAGCAGAATGTGAATCCACCAATGCACTTTAATCGATTTCTTTGTGACACGCTTTTATCAAAAGAAAATTATTGTGCAAAAGAACTATGAACAAGGCGCTTCAGAATCGAAAAGTCAAAACTTCGGCAGGTTTAGTTTTTAGAAAAGTAACGTTCTTCGGTATAGTGTATAATGTTTACCATAAATAGTGGCGGTCTTTGTTCGCGCGCCAAGGATGCATGTTAATGTGACTGAGAAAAAATAAAGAAATGAATGAACTCATCTACCTTCGTAATTTTTTATTTAGAAAGAAAGTAGCAACTCAACTACTGTGCTCAGTCTTACCAAAAATGTTGTTCTGGTCAACTCTAATGTTCACTGTGCGGATTGAATTTGTTTTGCACGAATATGCACTGCAGATATAAAAGGAAATTGTATTCTAATGTTCAAGACAAATTGACGCTTTGACCGAAGTAAATAAGTGACTAACAGAGGTCGCCATGTATTGCCGAAAAAAAGTGGAGTAATGGGACTCTCAGGAAAAGTCCCAGCATCCGGGAACGCTGCTAAGTAAACTTTTCCAACTTGCGTAGAATAGAAGAGCGATTTCATCATGTTGAATATTTATATTGAAAATAACCCCCTTGAGGTATAGTTATATTCTTTTCTCGTAATGTTTTATCACAAAAAAGTCAGGTTTGTTGACACCTCTGAACGGGCAAATTGAAAAGAAATTATTTTGTTAATGAACACGTTGTGAATAGTGGTATTTGTGAAACACAACGTTTCTTTTTCCCTTTTAAAATAGTTTCAATAAAACAGCTTCTTAACATAAATATTGAGCATTCTGAAAAGTACTAGTTTCATTAAATTATTCTCAGGACATTAATTTCTATCGTCAAGAGATAACTTCAAATCTTTTTAAAGTTTATTTTTCATAATTTCTGATAGTTTCAAAAAAGAGCAAGGAATGTTGATTTTGGCTGTTTGTTCAACTATATTGTATTCAAAATCCAGTACATTTCATTTCTACTGTTCAGCTGTCGAAAGTTTGCTATATGTAAACTTAAAGCAAACGCATTAGTAATATCACAAGCTTGGAAACCAACAGGGCATCAATATAACTTCCATTTGTGATGGAAATCTTCAATATTCTCTTCCTTCTAATCTGAAACACTCGTGGGAAACACAAAATCTAAATAAAAGCCCTATGAATATATTTCAATCAAACATAGGCATAAATTACTTGTGGGCTCCTATAAGAGTTAATGATAACACTGATAATACAGGTTTTTATGTTGTCTGTAATTTTTTTCCGATAATTAATAGCTCGGTTCTTCTACAGATCGATCACACCCCCTACTGTGGTGTGTGTGGAGTGTGAGTGTGTGTGTGTGATCGATCTATTGAAGTACCAATAGCTCTGCATAATAAATGAAGATAACACAATTAAAAAAAGGTGCATTCAGCGTACTTCTAGTCAATATCGAGGCCGTTGTGGAAGAGTGTACAAGAAAACAAAGTTCGCTCGATCAATTTCTTCTTGAAGGATGACTTTATTGCGCCTTTTTCTTGCAACGTTCCATTACTCAACCTGTTGCCATAGAAAACTCCCTACGACGAATAGCGACACCTTTCCGTATTTTGAGAGTGCCGAACCCAGAAGCTATTTCACAAGAAAGAGCTTTTAATTTACATTAACCCCCACTAAGTTCCAGTTTACCAAATGGTGTCACAAACAACTTAGGAAAAAATAACTCACTAGTGCCCATCTGCTAATGATTGCATGATTCGCTAAGACAATAATCCGTCTGCGACCATGCCATTACATCATATCGCCGTTGTTGGCACTTATCCCGACCTCGAATCAGCTTACCTTCTTGCACACTAAAACCCGCCAATACAGTTTTACTTACAGATGTCACAAAATATCTTACACATCTCAATATACGTACACTGACCAAATATCTCAAATATCTCAGATATACCAAATATCTCAAAACGCGTATTACGCATACTGAGCAAATATCTCAAATATCTCAAATATCTCAGATATACCAAATATCTCAATACGCGTATTACGCATACTGAGCAAATATCTCAATACGCGGATTACGCATACTGAGCA